AGAGGTTCCTATGCTTGGAAATTTTTTCACTTGGGGAAATAATAGAGAACACGAGGGATTTGTGTAGGAGAAAATTGATAGAGCATTCTCTTCTTTGGGCTGGTTGACAAGATACCCTGATTCTACTGTCACCAGTGTATTCAAAAGCTCATCTGACCACTGCCTCTTGAGCTTTGATTCTGAGCCTCATATCAAAAAACCAAAGAGTAGATTTTATTTTGACAAAAGATGGGTGGGGAAGGAAGGCATCAAGGAAGTGATTCAAGAAGCCTGGGCTCAACATCAGGAGGGTACCCCCATGTTTATAATTAAAGAAAAAGTCAAAAAGACCAGACTTGCCATTCTCAAGTGGAGCAGAGTGTCTAAATCTAATAACCTTAGCCAAATTGGGAAGCTCTCAAGCAGATTGGAGGTGTTGAATCATATGGGAGGAGAGAGGGACTGGGAGGAATGGGAAACTACGAAGAACCAGCTAAATAAAATCACTGCAGATGAAGAACGTTTTTGAAGACAGAAGGCAAGAATACAATGGCTTAAGGAAGGAGATAATAATACTCGTTTTTTTCATGCCTATACAGCTCAGAGAAGAAAGAGAAATGCTATTTCGAGGCTCATTGATCCTAAGGGAAGGTCTGCACTTCTCGAGAAGACATCCAACAATGCATCACAAGTTTTTACTCCACTTTTTTTTCATCCGAAGGATCCTCTGGCTGGGAGGAAGTTCTTCAATACATCCCTTCTTCCATTAATCAAGAAATGAATGACAATCTCATTGCCCCGGTGGACGAGGAAGAAATATGAGCAGCTCTTTTTAGCATGAATGCAGAGAAAGCGCCGGGGGAAGATGGCATGACGGCTCTTTTTTACCAGCAATTCTGGCCTACTGTCAAGGGAGATGTTTGTGCTGCCATTCTCAGTTTTTTTCAATCTGGCAGGATGCTGAGGTACTGGAATAACACAGTATTGACTTTAATTCCTAAGTGTGTAAATCCAGAGTCTCTGAGCCAATACAGACCGATAAGTCTTTGTGGGGTGTTGTATAAAATTATTTCAAAGATTTTGGCTGACAGGTTAAAGCTCTGCTTAAGTGTGTGTGTGAGTGAATCCCAAGCAGCTTTCATCCCCGGCCGGCAGTTAATGGATAATGTGATTGTGGCTCAAGAGGTATTCCACTTCTTAAACAGGCATCGGTCTGGCAAAAATTATTTTATGGCTTTGAAATTGGACATGATGAAAGCGTATGACCGCATTTAGTGGGAGAGTGTTAAGCAGATTATGATAAAGTTGGGTTTCCACTCGAAGTTTGTCAAGTGGATTATGGGGTGTGTTTGTTCGGCCTCATTCTCTTGTTCTGTTAATGGTGATATCACAGGTAAGATTTTGCCTACTAGAGGAATAAGGCAAGGTGACCCATTATCGCCTTATCTTTTTATTCTGGTAGCTGAATGTCTATCCTCTTTGATTGCTTGTGATAATGATCTGGGTGGAATTCAAGGTCTGAAAATTTCTAGAAATGGCCCATTGCTTTCTCATCTCTTCTTCGCAGACGATTTTCTTCTTTTCTGCAGAGCTGACTCTAACCAAGCATTTCAGCTTGCTCATATTTTGGAAAAATATAGAAGATTTTCTGGCCAGCTGGTCAATTGGGACAAATCGGCAGTTTTCTTCAGTAGGAATACCCCTATGAACATTCAACAGGCTGTCTGCAGAATACTTGAAGGAATCAAGGTACATAAATCCACTAGGTACCTTGGACTTCCTTTGGGTATTGGTAAGTCGAAATTGGAAGTTTTCAACTTTGTTTTAGAGGCAGTGAAGAATAGAATTGTTAGCTGGAAAAATAAGTTCCTCTCCACTGCTGGGAGAGAAGTTTTGATCGAATCAGTACTTAATTCCTTGTCGGTCTTTGTTATGAGCTGCTTTAAATTGCCTACATGAATCTGTAAAGAAATTACTAGAATTTGTGCGCACTTCTGGTGGTCCAAGGGAGAGTTTCAGGAGAAAGGGGTCCACTGGAAATCTTGGAAATTGCTATCCACTTCCAAGGAGGCAGGAGGGTTGGGATTTCAAGATATCCAACTCTTTAATGATGCTATGATTATGAAGCAACTTCGAAGATTGAACACCATACCTGATAGTCTGGTCAGTAGAGTTCTGAAAAGCAGATACTTCCCTAACTCTACTTTTTTTGAAGCCAGGAAAAAGCAAGGTGGATCATGGGTTTGGAAATGTTGGATGGCAGTGAAACCAATATTTGATCAAAGCATCCATATTCAAATCAAGAATGGCAAATCCACCAAAATCATGGAGTACAACTAGGTCAAGCTTGATAAGAATAAGCAACTTCAGTTATAGTCAGGAACCTCGAGTAATGCACTGTGGGTTGCTGATCTGTTAGAGGAGAATGGTGAGAACTGGAATCTGGAAAAACTGAGGGAGATTTTTGAAGAAGATATTGTTGAAGCCATTCTGAATATTAAATCTGTGAATCCTGAGGATGGTGATAAGTGGATGTGGAATCTTGATGAGAAAGGGAGGTTCTCGGTTGCAACAGCTTACTCTCATCTAATGGCCCAGAAGATTTGCTTAATGGACTTACCAGAAGCTAGCTCAACAGGCCAACTGCTCCAAAAAATCAGATCCAGATCTTGGAAATTAAAGATTAAGGGTAAGATAAAACATTTTATTTGGAAGTGTTTTTCCAATATCTTACCTGTTAATCTGAACTTGAGGAGAAAAGGCATAGAACTGGATATCATTTGTGGCTGCTGTGGTGAGCAAGAGGAATCAATTGAACATCTTTTCTGGGACTGTAGAAGGGCTAAGAGAGTGTGGGAGCTGGCCCCTGTTCAATGGCAGTTTGAGCAAGAGACCCAAAGAACTTTCACTAGCTGGTGGTCTCACTTGTGCACTTTGAAGCATAAAGCCATTAATGAAGATAGAATAGAACTCTCTACGTACTCACTTTGGTGGTTGTGGAAATCCCGCAACCTTTGGGTGTTCCAGAGAGTATGGATGCCAGAGCATGTTGTTGTCAAGAATGCAGTCCAAAAATGGAGGGAGTTCAGTTCTTTAAGTGCTTAGGATCTCCTGCTGTTTTGGGGTTGCTGGACTGGGGTGTTTATCAACCATGGCTCTGAAAGTGTGTTAGTGTCTGGTCCTTTTATTATTAGTTTATCCTTTTTTTTTCTGGCTTCTTTTTACATTGTGTTCTTAGCTGTGTGTTGTTTGTTTTAGTGTCACTGAAGATGTCAACTTCTTTAGTTGTCTTTGGGTGATGATTATGGTAGTCAGGTGTCTAGGCAATCTTTGAATGGTTCTCTCATATTGCTCGGCTTGTATTTGTTCATTGTGATGTATCTGAACTTTGTGTTTCTGTTTATCTAATGAGAATCCTTTCGTTCCGAAAAAAAAAAAGAAAAAAAAGAAGAAAAACAAGGTTGTTTGGTATAAAACAAATTGTACTCCAATTCAACATTATTTAAGTTCTATGTTTTATAATTTTTTTAAATAAAAATTTATATTAGTGCATACTCAACATAGTATAATTATAAATAATATAATATAATTATATATACTCATAGTATTATTTTATATGTATTTATGATAAATATATGAAATAATTACATTGAATAAAAAATAAAATAGTCTATCATTTCGTAAAAAAAAGAATAAAAAATAAAATAAAGTTGTAGTTTTAAAATATTAATAAAAATATAAGAGTGTATTATTAATTAAAAGTGGGAAACATGTGGGACGCAGAAAAAAGAGATTTATGGATTTATTGTTATTGGAGGTTTATTGGTGTAGG